CTCATGATCGATTTTTTTTTTTTTTTTTTTTTGTTGGAGTTAATTGTATGATTTTTATGATGTTTTCTCTGTATGTGGTTAACGGTTACAAGGGTGGATAAATTTTTACCTTGTGTAAGTAGCAACAGTTTTATGGGTTTCCGGATATTATTTCGTGTGCAAGTGGCTCGTGGGAAAGCAATGTTTAATGTGCACGTTCGAGGTATGAATTCAATTATATGTCTAATAAGATAAGATTATATGTTTTACTTAAATATATACTTTACAATGTATTAATTAAGTTACTTGAGATATAATTGTTTCACGTCCAAAAAGAGTAAATTTATTTTGTGGTAAGATGTAAAAAAAACCAAAAAAAAAAGTAATATTACACGTAACTTTTTTGTTTTTCAACTCTTAATATTTTATTCTACATATATAAAAAAGCCATATATGATTTATAAAATACAATTTATTTCAATAGTCGATTTATATATATTTTTTTTACTGCACATTTTAATAATATACTAACACATTTTTCATATTTTCTCTTTTCAGAAAGAATGTATTTCCCGAAGTGTAAATGTGGACGTAACATCAAGAATGCTTCCTTCGAATACTGGCGGGACAAATCTCAACAAGGGTTTATTTGTCGACTATGTTTTCAGTCATGTCCGAATCTAATTGTGTTGTTGTATCATCTAAGGGAATCACATGGCAAAAACTTACTTTAAAAGCGACAACTACGTTTTTTTTTATTCTTAATCTTTTCTTTTCACTGCGCATAAGCATGACGTAAATCACTCACACAAGATGATTAGAAAATATTTTTGTACGTGTTTTCTTGACTGTATCTCGAAAACAAAATTGAAAATGTTATAAAATCAAAAATGCGTACTCTTTTGGCTGCGTATGTAATACATTTATAGACACACAATTGGTTATTATTTGAGTAAACATTGTCAAACGTTATGTTGTTTTAGAAGAAATCAATCCTAAACTAATTCAATTCTACAGTCTTGTAATAATGTACTCATTATCTTAGTTCTCGACATCTTGACAGATGTATGGTAACTACGTCACGTTTGTCTTTCCAATCTAGTGATGGCATTTTTAATGGTGTCCTTTCAATAATGTACTATATATATATATATAATAATGTACTGTATGTATA